GTGTACCGCAAGGTTCAGTCCTAGGACCGCTTTTGTTAAACTGCAGTATAAGGACACGGAAGTCTGATGAATAACATGAATTTACAAGATATGACATCACCAGTACTGAACAGGACCCATTGTCAGTTTGTCACACGTGGTGTTCGGCCCTTTTGTTGCTTTCTTTCTATCTTATATCTCTATATCAATGTTTTGCAACTCGCCAACTTTCGTGACAACTGTTCTTTTCACGAGGTAAATTAGAATCTTATTGTCCGGCAGCGTTCCTTAGTTTATTTTAAGTGACCATCTTACGCTGCCGCATTTTGGCGCTATCCTGCTGTTGTAACTTGTAGCATCAGTCACTGAACGTGTGATAGCTACCAATATTTATCAACACGTTACTGACTGATCAAAGTAACTAAAAGTTACTTATGGTTTTTCTAAATTCCAGTCACTAATCTTTTACTGTATGATAACTACTGGTCACCATTGGTAATGGTATACTAGTGGTAGCCGTGAGTCCCGATAAACCCGTCTCCACAATGCCGAATATTCCAGATATGCTGGCTATTTGTAGCCTACATACTTTCCAGGGAAAAACACAGTTTAAAAACATTTCTGTTGGTGAGCAACACTTATGCCGGGCCTTTTTCTCCAGAACGTTTAGTTAATTAGCTCGTTTTGTGCAAGAAATGTGATTTATCACTACATGAAGAATTCGTTGTAACTTTGTTTGAAAAGCATTAATAGCTCATGTCCCCCCCCCCCCCCCCCAACCCCGTCTGTCCGGTATGTATCAGTTTCACTATACTAGTGTTACGGCTAACTCACGATGCTTTTTTCTATGTTGTGTAAACAAATAATTTTATGCATTATGTATTACCAATAACCCGCTACATATTATATAGGATTTCTGATTAAGGACTAACATAGCAATCTATTTTTAGTACGGTAAAAAGATGAAACCGACTGTTTTAAAGTCTTGGTTGCTCCTTTTAAATTTCTTACAACCTTCGAAAGGAATCGGTAAGCAACATTAAAAAATGTGAAAACAGTAGTGAAATAAATATTTAGCTGCGACCTCAGCATAACTGCATTGTAGTTCTTAAATGCAAATGGTTCACCTAACATTAATTAATCAATGAACTTTAACTAACGTACATTGCAGTACTCCTTCATACCAGTTTTTCGTTTAAAAAAATGTTTGATACTATTTTAGATATTGAGGCTGACGAAAATGGGAGCGTAGATGCAAGTGGCTGCGGCGGCCGCGGTACTATAATAATCTTCACTGCTGCGAAATACTATGCGCCTGGTAATGGGGATTGTGCAGCTTTATCTAACGCGTTGTCAGTGACAAAGGATGAATGTGACTACAGGACCTATTGTGCAATAGACACAACTCCGGGAGGACCGTTGTATGGTGATCCCTGCCCAGGATACCCTAAAAAGCTAGAGGTGAGGCAACTGGAATATCTTGTAATTGGAAGTCCTTGTATTGGTTACAGTTGACGATTTAAAAGTATTTAAGTCACCAAAATATAAGTCCATCTTAGAAACATAACTAATGATCCCACTACAGGCTACATACATTTGTTCGTCTTGTGACCCAGGATACCGTCTTGCGTATAGTTCAAGTTGCGTGATGTGTGGTCAGAGTACTTACAATGCTGGAGGTATTGTGCAGACCTGCTCAGCATGTCCTATTGGAACTACTGTTGGGCCTGGTCAGGGAGTGACTGCTGATGACTGCGAGATATGGGGTGAGTTATTCACCTTCCGACTGAAAGTAGAAGAAAAGCGATGAAGTTAAGAAACCAACCAAAAAAATTGCAATTTATATTGATTATTCTGTTTCATAGTTTAGTTCCTCATCTGAAACCATAATGTATCTGAGCCTAGATCCCTGTGAAGGTGGCAAGTACCTTGACCAACAGTACGGATGTAAACCATGCGTAGAAGGAACATACAGCGCTGGAGGGACAACTTCATTGTGTTCTAGCTGTCCTTCTGAGAAAACAGTGGCATCTGGTCATGGTAGTTCAGAAAGTGACTGTTCTTGGAGTAAGTCAAAATATTTGATAAACTTCATGTATGAACTTCCGAGTTAGATTAATTCCATATATTCAATGATCGACCTGGATTGGCTAAACGTGCCGGGACAGGGATGAAACCGAGATCAGGATTAAGCCCGGACTCCGGGCAATCCTTGTGTATAGTTCCTACGAAGAACTACTTATTATGTAAAACACATTCAACATTAATTTCAGTTCCATGTGTGAAGGCACAATATCTGAACCAGGCAACAGGATGTCAGAGCTGTGAAATTGGGACCTACAGTCCTGGAGGAACAGTTTCCTCCTGTGTTAGTTGTCCTGTTGGTAAATCTGTTGCAGCAGGACAAGGGAGCTCGGAGAATGACTGCTCCTGGAGTAAGTGTGCAACAACATTTATTAACTAGATGACCTTACAAACAGATGTATTGAGATTCAAGTTATCATCTTGATCTTGGGACGTTCTGATCTTGATTCTTGGCAATAGAATCAATGAACCGAATTTTTTAGCACCTTAATATTGTATTTTTTGCTGACTGTGCTGTTATAGTAGAGTTATAAGATTATAATTTTTTCAACCTCAGATCCATGTGAAAGTGGCAAGTACCTTGACCAAGTGAACGGATGTACACCATGTGGAGAAGGAACATACAGCCCTGGAGGAACTATTTCATTGTGTTCTAACTGTCCTTCTGGGAAAACAGTGCCCCCTGGTGACGGTAGTTCAGAAAGTGACTGTTCTTGGAGTAAGTCTGAATAATCGATAAATATGCATCAACCTTTCCAGCTTAATCAATTAAAAATCAAATTCAAAATTGTTTGCACACAATTATCTGTTTTGCTAAACCACATTGACTTCAACATCAATTCCAGTTCCCTGCGAAGGTGGCAAGTACCTTGACCAAGTGAACGGATGTACACCATGTGGAGAAGGAACATACAGCCCTGGAGGAACTGTTTCATTGTGTTCTAACTGTCCTTCTGGGAAAACAGTGCCCCCTGGTGACGGTAGTTCAGAGAGTGACTGTTCTTGGAGTAAGTCGGGAGATTAAAAGCAATTTATCCATCACATCTTGAGTTGTGTTACTATAAATTCTGAATAGTAAACGGATCATCATTAAACCATAAGTATTAACTTTATCATTACAGTTCCATGTGTGAAGGCACAATATCTGAACCAGGCAACAGGATGTCAGAGCTGCGAAATTGGGACCTACAGTCCTGGAGGAACAGTTTCCTCCTGTGTTAGCTGTCCTGTTGGTAAATCTGTTGCAGCAGGACAAGGGAGCTCGGAGAATGACTGCTCCTGGAGTAAGTGTGCAATAGTATTTGTTAAGAGATGTTTTGAGATCAAAGTTTTCATCTTGATCTTGGGACGTTCTTATCTTGGCAATAGAATCAATTAACCTTACGAATTTTGTTGGCACCTTAATATTGTATTTTTGCTAACTGTGCTGTTATAGTAGAGTTATAAGATTATAATTTTCTCAACCCCAGATCCCTGTGAAAGTGGCAAGTACCTTGACCAAGTAAATGGATGTACACCATGTGGAGAAGGAACATACAGCCCTGGAGGAACAGTTTCATTGTGTTCTAACTGTCCTTCTGGGAAAACAGTGGCGCCTGGTCATGGTAGTTCAGAAAGTGACTGTTCTTGGAGTAAGTCGGGATATTAAATAAAATTAATCCATCACATCTTGAGTTGTGTTACTATAAATTCTGAATAGTAAACGGATCATCATTAAACCATAAGTATTAACTTTATCATTACAGTTCCATGTGTGGGTGGACACTATCTGAACCAGGCAACAGGATGTCAGAGCTGCGAAATTGGGACCTACAGTCCTGGAGGAACAGTTTCCTCCTGTGTTAGTTGTCCTGTTGGTAAATCTGTTGCAGCAGGACAAGGGAGCTCGGAGAATGACTGCTCCTGGAGTAAGTGTTGAACAGACCTTATCATCATATTTTTAAGATTGTTATTATGGCGATGAAACTTTGAATCATAACCTTTCAGATCTAAATGCATGAGTTATAGAGCTTTTTATCTAGAAGTGATATAATATGAGAGTTATCTTCTCTTTTATTGAACTCTTATGTTTCCAACCCCAGATCCCTGTGAAAGAGGCAAGTACCTTGACCAAGTAAATGGATGTACACCATGTGGAGAAGGAACATACAGCCCTGGAGGAATTGTTTCATTGTGCTCTAACTGTCCTTCTGGGAAAACAGTGGCACTTGGTAACGGTAGTTCAGAGAGTGACTGTTCTTGGAGTAAGTCGGGATATTCGATGAATATGCATCAACCTTCTAGCTATATCAATCCAATATAGTATGAAGTATACTAATTTCTATCGATAAATAATTTTAACCGGAACTTACAAATTTCAGTTCCCTGTTTGGCAGGACACTATCTGAATCCTGAAACAGGATGTCAGGAGTGCTCTGAGAACCATTACTCGCCCGGGGGAGAGGTTACTTCCTGTATTTCCTGTCCAGAGGGACGCGGGGCGACTAGAGGGACTGCAGCTAGTGAGGTGGAGTGTAATATACCACTAACTGGTGAGTTTGGATATTATACAGAATAATGTACGTCGGTTGAGAAAAGTCTTTCTTTTCGCGCAACCTCCTCCAGCCCCTCTATTCGCGCCTCTCTCTCTTCGCTCTCTCCCCCCCCCCCCACCCCCCGCCCGAAGGAACTAAATGAATTATGCAACAACAGCATACAGCACCACACATTTCAGAGCCTGGCCACTCAACAACGTTGAGAGATCTAGAAATGCCAAAGTCATTCGAAGTATCATAATGTATCCTTACCAAAGATATCAACTTACTTCAGCACGGGTCATATATATAATACAGCTAGAGACAGACAAACTGATAAACATTGAACATACTGACAGACAAAATGAGAAACGGGCAAATTGATGTTCTTATATAACAAACAAGGCATTTTAAACTACTCACTTTCGAGGTAATCCTCGAGATAAAGCATGATTACTGTTGTCGGGTTTGTGTTCTCTTCAAAGGTTGGTTGATTAATAGATTTTCTGAGTCCTCACTCTGTTAATGTCACCTCCCATGTACCTCATGATTATGTCATCCTAATTAATTAATTGATTAATTAAAAGTTGTTTTGTGTTTGCACTGAAGATTTTGTTATTTAACCAAAAGACAGAAATAAGTGCATATTCGAATTTTGTTTTGATATGACTTTGTTAGAATGAAACGACCTGTGTGCCATATTATAATACTTTAATACCAGTGCTTAATAACACAATGTCCGTAACAAAACTGGAAATTCTTCTTAAAAATCATAGAATCAAGAAACCAGTATTTCTTGGAAATGAGGGTCTACTTTCTTGGAATTGAGGGTCTGATTACTACAACGTGATACATCTTCATTCAGCCAAACACTCCTTCTGTAATCTTTCTTTTTCTTTTAAAATCTTCAGATTAGCGTTTATCTGAAACAGTATTTAAACTATATTTCTTGAAATTGCTGTTACAATACTGGTGAAACTTCATTGAGTAGGGCAAATTATTCAAAACTTATTAAACTTAAAAATCAATCAATTAAATTTCTGCGTTGTTATTTATTTTACCTCTCTAATTGTCTCATAGTCTTGGATCCGTAGACAGGTCTGCAATAGTTCTTCGTATAGTGATCTAGCACTTATCAAGTCACCTAAAAAGATAACAATCATTTACCAAGCTCTGTCACCCAAACAAAGTTGGGAAAACTAGCGTGGGATATGTTAAATCTACAAATTCAAAATCTGTGACAGTGTGGGTTTGTAAAATTATGACAATTTAGACTTTAACCACAATAGATGCATAGGGTTTCTATGTAACGCGCGATTTTGTGCGCGCAGGAGTTTTGTTAACCATAACATCGTGGAATAGAAGTAAAATAACGGATTCTTATGAAAATGAGATAATGTACGCCTCTGGAACTTCGTGAAAACTAACAGACCGAATAGAAAATGTAAATGAAACACAATTTCTAGACAAAAGAAGCAAGTAAAGTTCAAAAGAAACGAAAAGTAATTTTAGTAAAACTTACCACTGAACAGTAAAATGGTAGCCTTGTTACACATAATGGAAGGTAAAGCTGCTTGATTGGCTACTTTTGCTTTCTCGATCGCATTCTCTACCTTCTCCAGCGCCATGTCATACCTGAGATAATAAGTTATTTGTAGTCTTTATTATTTGCTGTCCGAGCGTTTTATTTGTGTTTTATTTGTAAAATGAGGTTTTTATAGTGTTATAACTAATAAGGCATAGATATGGGCCCGATGTAATTGCTATGATCAGTTTACTGGTCAACTGGTGTTTCGGTGTCCCTTATTTTGTTTACACTCGGTCACTTGTCAAGGCATGTAAGGTCATTCGGCGATATTTTCTTTGAAATAAAATGATGTATTTGTGTAACAATTTGATAGTTTATTGATTAAAAAAAAAAATATGTGTTGTACTCAAATAACTTTTCAAATATTATACTTACTGGTCCAATGCTTCGTACACAGTTGCAAAATCATTTAATAAAACAGGGATTTGCGGGTCGTTCGGGTCGAATAAACTGAAAGACAATTTATCAGAAAACACAACATATTAAACAATGTACTTTAAAAATAACGATAAAATAAATCGCCAATGTTAGTTTCTGGTATGTTGGTATTTGTATTTCTACTCTGTTTTGAGACGTGATAGCAATTAAACCAGCCAGCTTACAGAAACGACTTATTAATTGTGCAGGAGGCTGTCACGTGTGTTAACACCGTTGTGGCACCTCCTAAAAATGAGGACAAACCAGAAACCACTCAATTTTACAACAATATGTAAAATTACTGACGCTCCAGCGAATTGAAAGGCGTGTTTGTACATGTTGAGAGCATTTTCAGGTAGATTCATGGACAGATATACTTTACCCAAACCTTCGTATGCCAAACCTGAAATAAAGGTAGTTGAGCAACTACAGACTGATAAACTGCGATCTGTAAGATTGTATGGTTGTTAAGAACAGTTAAAAAAATCAGCAAATGAAAAGGGGAGAAAATATTCCTCGAACCAGCTCTCGATTGCGCAGTTATTTTCTTTTTACGTAACTAACATTTCGCAACTACAGATCCAACCAATTAATTTACATAACAATAATCACAAAGTATCATCACCAACTAGATGAACCAAGATACGGTTCCAAGGTTGCTAGCCATAAAAAGGGCATGAAGAGCATTACCTGCCAAAGTGGAAACTGTAGGGTTTTTGGGTTCGTCACTTTTAGATAATTCTAGAGTCGTCACACCAACACAGTGTCTGTAATAAGTAAATATGTCAGTGGTAGATCATCGGTTTTTTATCAAACATTTAGCAATGTTTGGAAAATATTCAAGAATAATTTACCAATTAGTATCGATTAGTAAACAGTAGTGCCACCTACCAATTAACACAAAATAAATACTGAATAAGCTAGGAAAAGTTGAAAATATACTGATTGGCTATTTAATAAAATAATAATAAAATAAAAGTTAAATAATAGGAATAACTTTACTTTTATTTGGGCTCAGTTAAAACTTACAAGAAGCTCATTTCAGCCAACTTGTACTCTCCAAGTATAGCGTAAATCTGACCTATCTTGAGGAACAACTCTGTAACAGTACGGTTACTCCGCTCTATACCATTCAGAGCAAATCCGTTAATTGTAGCCATGTACAGGTTTATAGCTTCTTTGTAACTGAGATTGTCAGTAGTTTGTTTGGGTAGATAGCTTACTGTTGGAAAGATATAGCTTCCAAAAAGTAGGAACATTGAACACTTTACAACGTAATGTTAAGGAGAAGACACAAGGGGGAGCGATACAAAGAAAATAAGAAAGTGAAAGTGAAAGTGAAAGTGAAAGTGAAAGTGAAAGTGAAAGTGAAAGTGAAAGTAAGCACAAACCATTCTAGCTGAAGAGCAATGTTACCCAGTTGATCAGTAAGGTAAGCGATCCTCAGGTTTGGTATGGGTGTCTCCTTCGTTCTGTCCAGATCATCTTTCAGCAGCTAAAATAACAAACATTTAGTTTAGCAGATTAATTAATCTTGTTAACATTTAACTTGATAATTAAATAATATTTAAAACATGCTTAATAGATTAATGTTCGGTATTCAGTACCTCGTAAGCTTGCTCGAAGTGTGGTTTTGCGAAATGTGGTTCAGCCTGGTGCAGGTGCATTGTACACATACCTGGAATGTAGCTTATGTCAGTGAGGTCTACTCATTTTTATAAACTGTGTTTCGTGTTGTCAGTATTATGTGACTTGTTTTTCAGGCTTGTTAATGTGCACTAGAGATCAGATAGAATCCTGTAAAGATTACTTACAAATTTTACAATTCATCAATAATTAAGTTTCAGACTGACGGTGGCTCCAATATAACATAGATTTCGAGTCTAGTAACATAGTGTTACTAGCACAGCAGCAACTTTTAGATTAAACAGGTCACGTGCGCACTGTGACTAGTTTCAGTTTGATAATTATTTATACTGAACGGCTGGTCATAACCAATACTGTGAAAAAGTCTTTATTCACTATTATTATATCGTGTAGCTGTGTATTACTGTAGTAAGGGAACAAAACAAATCGCATCATTAAATCCTTCGCCTGCAGCAATATTCATTAAACAACGACCAGTATACTGATATTATTAATTTACAACTAAAGAACTAAGTAAATCTTCACAATAACTATCGTCACCTTCAGCTCGATCCCTAGTTGAACATGCGAATATTACTACTATTATATCAGGCTATTAGCTTATTAGCTTGACCATCTATTATCATGACTTCCAGTATAGAATACCCAAGAACTGGCTTTGTACCATATCTGTCATTATTCCATAATATCTAAATTCTATAAATTGCCACTCATTGTTGCATTGGTTGATACAGTTGTATTGTGCTTGCATCTTTTGCTTGCAGTAGTTTGCGAGTTTAAGATGCGGTTGTAGTCTTTTTAATAGGGTCACAAATGATCCTTACAAGTTCATAATACACGTTTGAGCAAAATTCTTCATCCGGAAGTTTAAAACTTTAATATATTTGACAATTGTGTTCTTCTATTCTGGTGATGGCCTTCTTTTAGTTTACAGTACGATTCAGCTGGTCTGCTAATCTGACCGCATTCTTTATAAAATATTCTGCCATTTACATTGACAAGAAAGGTTTCAATCTTTAAAACAACATATTTCACCTAAATAAAAGAATTGGTTTAAATTAAACGGCCTAATTGTGGATCCGTTATTGATATTAACTTATTAATGAATAATCCGACTATCAGATAATCGATTGTCTGCCGTCCGGTTGAGTCAATATCTGTGAAATAAGATCATTTGAATTCTATCGTTGACAAAGTTGTTAGGTTGTTATGGCTGAGATTTTGACTTTGATATTTTATTATTTTCGTCATTTTATGTTAAATAAATGTCTAGTTTTACTGAAAACCATCCCTAGTTCTAGGTATTTATGGAGCAAGAACTGAGTGATCCATTTCTCCAACTATTTTCAGAGAACACAACTATACTTCTAATTTTCTTGACAATAGTGGTCGTTTTAGGATTTATCTCAACTCGAACGGTTAGCAAATTTTCCGTCTTTGTTTTTGTCATGTCATGTTTAGCCCAGTAAATAATTTAGTAAATTTCTAAAGTTCTGTGTTTTTAATAACCTGTTTGGCATGTTATCCAAACCCAGGATACATTGAAGACTTTGTTGTAACTTGTATGAAAAAATTATTAATATATATATAACATATTTTTCTAACAACTCACAACTGTACAATTTTTCAGAGAATCTGAAGGGAGTAAATTGCTGGTGGATCTGTCAATGTTTTGTCAGCTTGGGCCACGTGACATGTCAATGTTCTGTCAACCCAAATGAATGAAATATGGCTGAGCTTATTCTACAACTCTTCGACGAATGATAAACTCAGCCACTTTCTTCTGAAGTATGTGAATATGCAGAATGATATACCTTTCACCAATTGAATAATCTTAAACCTGATTCAGACAGAACGAATAACATTTAGCTTGGCTAATTATCTTCTTGAGGACGGAACGACACAATTTACAATGTAATGAGAATCATTATAAAATAGATGAGTTGATTAATAATTTACCTATCGGTTTAACTACACAATTAAATTATCATACCTATGTGTTTCTTCAAAGTATCCTCCTTGGATTTACCGCCGTCATCAAAGAAGGAGCTAAATATTGAAGCAGCAACTAATGTTGATGCTCCTAGTAGTTTGACGTTTGAGAAAGGGGTTTCTTTGTCTTCGGAACTGGATCATAGGATGAATTACATTACTGATGTTTACTTTTTTGACGAATATTACGACAGATGAAACATGATTTCTGTTTTAGAATTAATACAATATGTATTATAACATGTTCTTGGATTTGTATATTTAATACTGTAACAGTATAATTAATTTACAGTAAGATCCGTGCAATTGATTGAAATCTAAATAAAATACGAGTCTCAAGTAAAACGAAACTACATTAACCTGTGGTGGTATTCTCGGTAAGGACAGAAAACCCTAACATTCCTGGGAGAAGAGTGAATTCCATCAGGCTGGATCCTTACACTGAAGTTGTGGGTGATTTGTGCACCGCCAAATATCTTGGGTAGGTTGGATATCTTACTGCACATTTTGATTGTTGTGTTGGTTGACTGGCGATTCTTTCACATGATTCTCTCAGCTACATAACAGGAATTTGTTATATTTTGTATTTTTCAATTCCATATACGGAACTTGACAGAAAAATATTATAACGATTTGTCAACTATAATATACTTTTCTTTTGAAAATTTTAAGTTCTTCAGCAATTAAAAAGTCATTCACATTGAAACCTATTAAAAATACATCGAATGACTAACAGCAAAGTAAAAAATTCAAAAATTTACAAAGATAATAATTAATAAATTACTATGGCACGTAACTATGGCACGTAACTATGGCACGTAACAGTGACAATCAGCTTCCAGCATTGACCAATCAAATCTCACAATAATAGTCACGTGTCAAGACAAACCGGTACCACCTCCCCACAAACCGGCACCACCTCCCAACAAACCGGCACCACCTCCCAACAAACCGGCACCACCTCCCAACAAACTGGCACCACCTCCCCACAAACCGGCACCACCTCCCCACAAACCGGTACCACCTCCCAACAAACCAACACCACCTCCCAACAAACTGGCACCACCTCCCCACAAACCGGCACCACCTCCCCACTATTTCACTTGTAAATACCTCCTGGTATTACATCTGAAGTTTGCGCATTTATCAACAAGCAATTTCTAACTTTCCACTTACATCCACGATTTGAATGACGATTTTAGGTCTTGAAACCTCTCAACTGTATATTCGAAGCATAATCATTATCCCCAGGCAGTATACAGATCCATAGTCCATAACTAACTCATGCCATGCTCACGAAAATCTAAGCCCAAAACAGAACTTAAAACAGGAAACATCAGAAATCTCTACTGAATTGATTCCACTGCAAATAAGGTGGTCTCTCTGGAAACATCAGAAATCTCTACTGAATTGATTCCACTGCAAATAAGGTGGTCTCTCTGGAAACATCAGAAATCTCTACTGAATTGATTCCATTGCAAATAAGGTGGTCTCTCTGGAAACATCAGAAATCTCTACTGAATTGATTCCACTGCAAATAAGGTGGTCTCTCTGGAAACATCAGAAATCTCTACTGAATTGATTCCACTGCAAATAAGGTGGTCTCTTGCCCAGGCCCAGCCAGGGTCTCCTCCTGTGAGCTCTAGGCTGTATAATCCCTCTCTTTTCCAGAACCTTATCCCCCACACTACGCAATGCTTTATCTGATGTTTCTTCTTCTTTCTTCTGGTTTTGGAAGTCTAGAGGCCATACGTCCTCCTTTTTGTTGAGCTCTAGAAAACCAGGGAGTAGCCGCTTGATTTCAGCTTCTTCCACAAAAACAGAGTCACATTTTGCTATTTTGTCGTACATTATTTTCCGCATATCTGTCTTGTCCTTTTCAGGTTTCCTGTTTTGAAAGTTAGTAGGTCAGGTTTTGCCACGGAGTTTATTATATTACAAATCATGTGAGTCATTGGCTAATCAGTTTTCAGTAATATTACACATGTGCAATATTACACATGCCCACATTTTTTGACTAGAATTATAATGTTAAAAATAACATGTGGAAGTAAATAGATATCACTAACCATTGAATTGATGTCTGTCCAGTTGCAGCTAAGCTGTGTAGCACAACCTTCACTCTCAAAACTGATGGTTTTGTGACAAACCTTTTCATTGCTTACTTTCTAGCAATAAACAATTAATTAATTAATGTGATCTGTTGAAAGTTGGTGAACTTCTTTTTTCGGTCCTTCAAAACATATTTTACAGACAGTTAAATTATGGTAACTATTATCGGTATTTTAGGGATCACGATTCAAATACTTTACACAGTCGCAGAATATGTTTCTTTTATAAAGAAATGTACATTTGTAGAGATTCAATCAGCTGAAACCTTGTGCTACTCGAGTGAAAAGCGGTTTTGAACAGTATTCTTAACAAATTAATATCAAAGACTATAAATAGGGCCACAATCTGGAGAAATTGGAGTTTCTGTTCAACAAAAATTATTGACAAATAAAAAAGTACAAACAAAACCGTCCGTTTTACCGGTATCTTTGATTTGCTTGAGGAAGTTTAACTCCACCAACTTTACCATAATATTTTAACTGTCCTCCAGTACTTATAACCTCCTCATCATCAAAATCAAGGGAAATATCAGTTTCTTCAATCTTGCCAAAGTCACCTGATGTGAACTCTTTTGCTTCCTCATCAGTTTTCTTGTTGATCATTGCCGCTCTTTTATCCTGGTTAGCTTCAACTGTGTCCGGTTCTTCTGGTCGGGGTGTTCTGATGTTTTCCCAATCATTCAAATCTTTATTTGCAATGTGCTTGTCATACAACTCGTCAATTATGTCATCAAGACCCTTTTTGTCTTCTTTTCCCCCTTTTTTTGTGTTTTTCAGTGACTGAAGAAAAAGTAGAATTAATAAAGAGAAAGCAGGTTGGTTCCTGGGCTGATTTTTTAATACATAGTAAGAAATAGACATTTCATTGTTTCTACCTGACATTTGAGTATGGGTGCTGTAATATTTTAGAGTTTGCACTAAACTACTTTCAATTTGTGCTGCTTAAATTGAAAAACAAATTTTTAACAAGAAATAAGTTAAAAGAAACCAACCTCAAGCTGATCGACGTCCATCAAGGAAGCATGCCCAGTAAAATGAGAGGAGTCCTTGTATTTGTGTTTCTGTGAAATGGCAGCTGTAAGAAATACTAGACACATACAGCCAACAAACCAAATGGCATATTGAAAAGTCTCCGAAGTGAGTAGGTGCGCTAACTTTCCTCTGATACCACCCAATTTCTTGTCACCGCTGCCAAAGGTCTGAACAAATCTGACAGACCTTTGGCAGTGGTGACAAGAAACAAATCTATTACAAGTATCGCTGGACCTTCTACATTTCTTCATGTTCAAAGAGCATGTACTTGAATACAGTCTGGAGATCCTGGTGTTCAACTGTCCATTACATTGCAATCGGTGGAGGAATTGCATTGCCATTACTTGATTTCAAACCCAACTCTTTTAAAACACTCAGAATAGTAGAAAAAGGCGGGAGTTTTTTGCAGGAGTAGCCAAGTAGTAGTGACTTGTAAGGAGGCTTGCTGTTCAACTCCTCAACAATTTGTCGAGCTAAAACGTCTATCTGAATTGAATAAGTACATTACAAGTCGTGAACTAGCATTTCAAAAAATATTTTCGGTCTGTGTCCAACTAGGACAAAAACTGAAGGAAAAAGGGTCATGATATATGATGTCTTATAACTTGGAGAAGGTTGATTGACCCTCATTTATTCTATACAAGCTATGGTTTCACTATATTTTCATTATAAATTGATACTGCGAAGATGTTCCACTTTTTAAAGATATCATGAGAATGAGTGTCCATGAAAGCAACTTGTTTTACAATATCACAAGATCCAAGTCACCTTTTCGTCGTCTGCTCCTAGCAAATTGGTGATTGTATAAGTGCTGAAGCCGTCCAGATGATCAGGTTTGTCCCGTATTGCCTTAACAATTTTTCCAACTTTACCTACCTGACAAAATTATGCATGGTCAACATTATCAACTGAACATTTAATTATGCATTCCTATGTCAATAAAAATGCATGCTTTTTAAAAGGAACTCAAATTTAAAGTTGATACTTGTGTTGAATGATACAATTTCTAACTTTAACAAAAATATATACCTGACTTATCTGAACAAAGCAATCAGAACCGTAATCAGCAACTAAGAATTCAGTGTTGCTTCCTTCTATAATGAAAGCTGCTTGTTTCACTTTAACAGGGCATTTAGAAGTCATTGGACCTAGAATTGAAGTATTACATGACCAATATGTGGTATTTAGTGTAGGATAGTATACTATAGTATAGTAATGTGTTTACATATGGAAGTAGCATAACATTTTGAGTGGCATAATGAAGGGCGACATCAGATATAATGACAATCTACCGACTTTTAGGTGTTTTAGTACAAAATGTCATCGAATTAGTTTTTAAAATACAGCAGGGAACGCTAAAAAGCACCTTAAAATGCCTGCCATATATGTTCCCATTATATCAGGAAGGGGTGCAAAAAATAAGCAGGAGTTCGTTATTATATAATAAAATCAAACTTTCCCAAAACTGAAGAACAAATTAGAATTTGGATAAAAAACAGTGAGGGTCATAGAACGAACATAATTAAACCAATCGTGGCAATCGAGAAAGATGAAACACATTAGTACTTCCATACAAATTGCACAAGTCTTTTCACATACTCAGTAATAAAACGATCTATCTTATTGTGTTAAATTTTTGAGCGAACAATTTTTTGAACATTTTAGTGTACTGTAAAAAGTGTACTGTAAAAAGACAGAGTGTATTATGATTGCACGAACATCCTCACCAGTACCTGATGTCACAACCTTTAGACCATTCATTGTCGGCAATAGACCCATAACATATACATGTCAATCAACTGTTCTTGGACTAAGCATCGACAACAAGCTTACATTCAAGGGTCATGCAAATTTCAAACTCAAACAATGCTGGTTGGCCTGGTACAGGATCACCCGAATCTCCACCCGCCACAGAGGTCTGAATGCAAGCTCACTCAGAATGGTCTTCAGAACAGTAGTTCTCACGAAATTTCTATAAAGTAAAGTAAAGTAAAGTAAAAATTATGACATAACATCATCACTAATGTCTACAAAGTATCATCGCACTACATGGAAAAATATACAGTAACTATTTCTCCATCAAATTTAAAAGTAATAATTTATCAAATATTAATCATGAATAACAACAACATTAAAAACATTTAATTTATTCATACTTCATTAATAATAATAATAATAAATTAATGTTATTTTTATACAGCACCAAAAGGTTAAATAATTTAAATTTAACCCTTATGCACAGCTGTAAATGACACTTAAATTAACGAGAGTGTGCATCGTTGACTTAGACGGAGGTGGAACAAGAACAAGAAACTGTTCAGAAAACAGTGGAGTAAAGATTCATAAAACGTTTCTTTGATAGTTTGATACATAAGGATTCAGAAACCAAAGATAATCATTGTGTTTTTCCTTATTACTGACATAACTGGTACCTTCAATTCTTGTTAAAACTTCTTTCGAAACATTCCAAAAATGAAAGTCATTTACAACACATTTAGAAATCATATTCTTTTTAAAACTTTCCAATCCAATTTAAAAAATTCAAAACTGTCAAGCAGTTCTTCACATCTGAAAGGAGTTTGTTCCAATAAGGAACAACCCGCTCTGGAAGAAAAGAACACGGAAGTTTCTTGACCTTTGTCACACTCTTATTACATTTATTGGATGAAACTAAATTAAGACCTGATCTGCTTAATTGGTCTGAACAAGTCTGAACCATAATCAGTCAAATATTGAATATGGGTAATAACCCCCAAGTCTTTTTCCTGCTCAGATACTTCAAGTTGTACACCATTCACTAAATAATTTAAGTTAGAGTTGCTATTTAATTAATTAAGATTAATATGAACAACTTTACATTTGCTGCTCCTATATGGCTAAAAGATAACCTCGATACTTTCAAACTTTTATGCCAGGGTCCTTTTGAAAATAAGCGGGGCCACTCACCATCTCCCCAAAGATTTGACCTCTGTTGTGTTCGAACTGAACAGAAGCAAAAATGATAGTTTGCGCGGCGTTTCAAAGCGGCAACGTCCTTTAAAAAATGTTGATAAACTCCTGCCGATTTTATAAATAGTAATATGAGAAATTACAATTCCGTGATTTGTGATTGCCTTTTGTTCAAGTTGTTGTTTTCATTTGGGCTGGTTGTATGACCGCAAATGGCTACATTACCAAACTTAGCTTGCTAGTCTCTCGCTATGCAAAAAATTAGAAGCTCGATTCGAAAAGAGTGCCGCGCGCCATAATACATATGGATAGGTTGTCATACGTTGTACGCTTCTACTAAATCGCTCGCCCAAATTTTAAGAAAATTCTTGTGAAAAGGACCTTTAGGCATGAAAGTGATCTAGATCGGTGTATTTTTGGACGCTGATTCCGAATCACCCCCCATGACGTAGGGTTTATAAAATGCTTCCCTGGAGAGTTATGGGCAAACAACCGTTTTGGTCACGAGAAGACAGAGGACAAAGCGGAGGCCGCAGTGCCCAGCCGTTAAATATTTTTTATACCAATGCTAACGGCCTATTTAATAAAATTGATGAACTAAAATGTATTTTATCAATGTATAAATCTATTGAGGTAATTTGTGTAACAGAAACTCATTTTAGTAGTGATATATTAGATGCCGAAATTTATATTGAAGGATTTAGTATGTTTAGAAAAGATAGAGATTTTAGAATTGACCATTCCACTGGCAGTAAAGTGGTGGAGGAGGCTCTATAATTTATGTTAAAAACTGTTGTAATGCTTCACTAGTGAACTCTTTTTTAAAGGCACCGGATTCTTTAGCTGTTAATATCAACACATCAGGTGGACTGATTAGTATTTGTTGTATTTACAGATCCACTTCATTGAATTTAGAACAGAATAATGCGTTAATATCTTGTATCAAGAGCATCTGTAGTGAAAGGAATGATTTTGAAACACTCCTTTTAGGAGATTTTAATTTACCAAATGTTTTATGGGAAACTGGTAGCATAAATAGTAATATTGCTAGCAAGAACCAGTTTTTAGTTACTCAACAGAAATTCATGGATGTTTTCAATGACAGTGGTTTAACTTGGTATTTCACCAACGAGACAACTAGAAGACGGCTTGTGAAGGATACTCTCCAGGAGAGTCTTCTTGATCAGGTCCTGTATACAAATGATGCTCTTGTCAACGGTTGTAAGATCGTTTCTCCGATTGGTAAGAGTGATCATGTTGGGATACTTGTCAAACTAGTTGTTTCGCCGGATACTAGCAAATGTTTAAAAGAGAAGATTATCAAACCTATATGGGGTAAGATTTCCTCTGAAGAGTTATTAAATTTTAGTTTGAAAAATATCGACTGGGATTATAGTTCTACCAATGATGTTCAAGATATGTGGGCTGAATTACATGGTAAACTGGAGACTGTTGCTGCAGCTGTTCCGACTGCTTCGGTTTATCTCGACAACAGACCTGTCAAGTTGCCATGGAGTACATCTGCACTTAAACGAATGAGAAAGAATAAAGATAAAGCATGGGCTGAGTTTGATATTAATCCATCTGATGTTAATTTTAGTTATGCAAGTAGCAAACAACATACTTATGAAGTAGCAGAAATTAAAGCTAAAGTTAACTATGAAAAGAAAATTACATCTAATCTAAAGCAGAATTGTAAGTCTTTTTACTCTTATTTACGAAATAAACGTCAAATTAAATCAAGTGTGGTTTCTTTAGATAGAGGAGATGGTACACGCACAGATAGTTCAACTGAGTCAGCTGAGGTACTCGCAAGTGCCTTTAGCTCTGTTTTTGTGCGTGAACCACCTTAGTCAAGGATCTGACGACATTCCCGTCTATATAACTTCCGCCCCGGGGTTTGAGACTTGGAATACCTCAAGGGACCCATTAGAAACAAATTTGGCTTGGTTAGAAATTTTGGCTATGGGGCAGTTTTGCGCAATTGACCACGCCCTTTTTTGGCGCTTTTGCAACTTTAGAATCAAAATAACTCCGCTTCTAATTGGAATTAGAAGCACAGCTTGGCTTTAAAGTTGTTCAGAATCATCGCATTTAGGGGGGTAGAGCATAATTTTAAAGTCAACAGACATCGGGTTGTTGAGTTATGTGACCACACCCTTATTTACCCTCGCGAGTCGTGATTTTCACACTAAATACGAGATATCTCGGCTTCTGATTGAGCTACGTGCTCATCCTGGGCATTAAAATGTTCAGAATCATCACATTGAGTAGGGTAGACCACAATTTCAAAGTCCTCAGATGTCAGGTTGTTGAGTTATTAGGCCCCAACCTGTTTTTACGCTCTCGCGGGTAGCGATTGCAGCGCTAAAAATCAAAATAACTCAGCTTCCAATTGAAGTTAGGAACAAAACTCGGGCAGCAAAATGTTCACAATCATCACATTGAGTGGGGTAGAACGTAGTTTCAAAGTCCTCAGACGTCAGATTGTTGAGTTATTAGGCCCACACCATAATATTTACGCTCTCGCGAGTCGCGAGTCGACACTTAAAATCAAAATAACTCGGCTTCTGATTAGAGTTAGGAACTAAACTTGGGCATAAAAATGTTCAAAATCATCACATTGAGTGGGATAGAACGTGGTTTCAAAGTCCTCAGACGTCAGGTTGTTGAGTTATTAGGCCCCAACCTGTTTTTACGCTCTCGCGGGTAGCGATTGCAGCGCTTAAAATCAAAATAACTCAGCTTCCAATTGAAGTTAGGAGCAAAACTTGGGCAGCAAAATGTTCACAATCATCACATTGAGTGGGGTAGAACGTAGTTTCAAAGTCCTCAGACGTCAGATTGTTGAGTTATTAGGCCCACACCATAATATTTACGCTCTAGCGAGTCGCGAGTCGACACTTAAAATCAAAATAACTCGGCTTCTGATTAGAGTTAGGAACTAAACTAGGGCATAAAAATGTTCAAAATCATCACATTGAGTGGGATAGAACGTAGTTTCAAAGTCCTCAGACGTCAGGTTGTTGAGTTATTAGGCGGAACCCTATTTTTACGCTCTCGCGAGTCGCGAGTCGACACTTAAAATCAAGATAACTCGGTTCCTGATTAGAGTTAGGAACAAAACTTGGGCATGGAAATGTTCAGAATTATCATATTGAGTGGGGTAGAACGTGGTTTCAAAGTCTTCAGACGTCAGGT